GCAAAATGTCACTAAACTTAATCAGCTGACCACAAGGGTATGTCTGGTTAAAATGTGTGGGTGAGCAAATTAATTTTCGCTACTTTCAGCATTTCTTTACGTATTCTTCACGAGCATTTTCCTGCTTCTATGTATTGAATTTTTCTAAAAGTACTCCATATGCGGTGATTCTATATTAAGCTTAATACGCTGTAGAAAATAAATGCCCAAAAACTGTCTAAAAGCCTAAAAAATTTCTTTACAAAAATATCCCTGTTTGTTTTTGGCGAACTCATTATAATGAAAGCGAAAATAACTCCATAAGAAAGTAAGCGAAAAAAAAACAAATTTTATTTTCAATACTATTAATATCGTTATTTTCTGCGGCGTATTAAGGTTCAAATATAACAAAAATTAAAAAATTAAAATATAAAAAAAATTTAATATTTTTATTAGCCTTCGATTTGGCTAAAATTTTGCAAACACAACCTGATTTCATACTAAAACTGGCGGAAATTGATCTAAAAATTTTAAAATTTTTTAATTAAGAGCGAGGCAAAAATCTATAAAACAGTCAAGTAGGGTCAAAAAAATTTCATATAAATGCACCATTTCTAGCTGTAAAAAAACTCCCCTTTATCAGGCCTACTGAGAATTTTATTTTTCTCGAGTAACTCGCAAAACATGTTATAGTTTCTGTGCAAAATTTGAGCCCGCATGTTCTTGATGCGTTTAATTTGGAATAGTCGTAAGTACTTGTACATTAGGCATATGACTTTTTAAAGTAAAATATACCTACATATGTACATATGTATGAGAAGAGGAGAGAAATGATGAAAAAATAACAATAATAATCGATTGGCGCTTACACATCTGTTAGTGTTTGGCCGAGTTTCTCCTCCGATTTGTGGCGTGCGCCTTAATGTTGTCACACGAAGGGGAGGGATCTACAGTTTTACGCCGAATTTGGTACAAAATGTTCCCGCAGGGACATAGGGAAAATTCCATTTCAACCGAATTAGGATTGATCAAAACTTGGCTTCTAAAAATGTGTATTTTTTATTCGGTTGACTTGGAATTTTCATATGTTGCTGACCTTCATGAAGTGACATCTGTATATCTAAACAACTAAGTGCAGAAAATCGTTCTCGATACCGGCTGGCACCAATACAAAAACTTTGCCAAATTTTGGAGCATCAAACTTATCGTTTTTGCATTTAAGTTCGCAGTGCCGTCTCGCTATCACTGCAAACTCCCGCAATTATCAGGTCATGATGACCTCGACAATCAAATATCCTCCCCCGGAATAAAAATCTGCTTGTATGCATAGTTAAGGCTAAGCGGGAAAATCATCTGCACTACTCTCGGGACTGCAATTGCAATAATAAAGCTCACAAGAGTCACAGTAACAACAAAAAGAATCACAATAAAAAATTAGTCAAAGCGACTTTATCTTTAATTCTCGTTGACGTCAGCGCATGTCCATCTGCCTCATCAGCATGTGTTTGTGTGCGTGTGTGTGTGTGTGTGTGTGTATGAACGCAAGTTTATATGCGTTTAAATGTAATGTTTATGCATATAATTTTATTTATACAAGCTTGCGTATTTCATAATATTAAGAAAGTTTTTTTTCCGCTAAATTTGAATGTGTGCATGACATGCATAATAACACGATAAAAAGATTATAGTATTTTTATAATGCATAATACATATCGTCGTTTAAAGTACAAAACCACGTATCGTTATTCTGCAAAACCGCGCAACTGACATTTGCTGCCAAAAATTGGAAGCAATTCCACACAAGCGCTTGGCTCAATCTTTATCCATTCGTGCGATTGCTTTATAAATAAGAGAACCATTTTGAAATATAAGTGTTTTTACTCTCTATAAAGTAATTTATGCAACCTCACATACGCGGTTTTGCATTTTGTTGATACGCGGTTTTGTACTTTAAACGACGATATGCGCTTATTTGAGTTTATCTGCGTTTAAGTTAAAAAAAAAAAACTTGTACCATTTCAAGCAAAAACTTCATTTGTCTTAAATATTGAAAAATTAATGTAAGGAGATCTTTGCTGCTGTGCAATTTATCTTTTTATTATGATTATTATTGGATCTAACACCAAAGACGTCAACAACAGCAAGCGCGCTAGCAACACGGAAAGCGAAAAAGGGGGCGGTTATTATTTGTTATAAAAGCAAAATTTTTTATTAGCAATTTTTCATATCTTTGCATATTTGTTTCACTTATTTTTTATTTTATTTTCGCTATTTTTTATTTTGTTTTTAATTTTAGTTTTATCTGTTTTGCTGCCTGCCATTCACGTTTAAAGCATTTTATGGTATGTATTTCGGCCGTCTGAGCTTCACGTTTTACGTTTTATGATAGGCCAGTAATTCTAGAAGCATTTGCGTCAATAGAATATACATTAGTAAACACTCTTTATTAGAGTGATTTAGAAAAATATAAGACGCACAATTTATAACTTAAACACCAAGAAGCAAAAAAAGGATAATAAATTGTTTATGAAAAATAAAAAAAACAATGGTTTCAGCAAAGGGAGGCAGGTAAATGCGAACAGAGACATCACTATGTGGTCCCATTTTTCCTTTGGTACGTTTTTCTATGAGCTATTTATGGATTTGGGGATAAATATTTTCCAACATCAAACAGAAAAGCGAAAGTAAGTGAAAACGCGAAAAAAGTCAACCGAGGGGTGACCGCTGCACAGTGGTTCAAAACTGGAATTTAGTATTCATAATTCACCGGAGCCTTTATTTTTCAACCAATTTGATTATTTTTTTTTAATGAAAGCTTTTCAAATTCCCAAGGGAACAGTTGAGCTCCATTATAAAATTTTTATGTTTATGTTAAATTTTTTAATACAAAGTGCGGAAAAAGTAGCAATTTTGAAGAAAATCGATTCTCCTGTTCCAGTTAATAAATAATATACACTAGTTGAAAAACGATTTTAGGGTTCCCCCAAAACAAAAAATTATAAGGAAATTTTGAAATGTTAAAAAAATTCACCAAAATTAAAATTTTGTTTTCGAGTTTTTAGAAAAACTTTGGGTACGTAGTTTTTTATATGATTAAATTTTAGTATAATAAATAAAGTGCAAGTTTTAAGTAGCAAATGGTGTTTTCGTTTCTACCAAAAAATGCCACATTTTGATTGCCCCATTCCTTGCTGGTTTGTGATGTTGCATGTTTTTATAAAAAAATACGAAAAATTTGATATGGAAAATATAAAAAGAGAAACGACATATTTTTGACGCTTACTGTATATGAGGCATTCCAAACCAAAACGGACGGGGTTAACACTTCATGTGTTTGATTTGTTAAAAATTTTTAGTGTTATATATATTTAATATAAACATAAATAATAAATAAATTTGAAACTTGAGCTTGATTAATACATTTTTAAAAACTTTACAGCACAAAAACAAAAACAAATCGATTTAATAGTTTTCCAAATATCTCGAGAACGGGGCGAGGAAAAAATTAAAAAACAAAATCACACATACACACATAAAAATTCTT